GCGTTCTGTGGCTTTCCCGATGGGCGTTTCGGGCATTTCGGGACAGATTGTGGAGACAGTGACAACCCCCTTATCTACACTATCTTGGAGCATTTCTAAACCTAATATGCGCCCCAGCCCTTCACTATTGCAGTAGAATGTCGCAACAGCACAGGTGTTAACCGCCAAACAACTTCGTGCGCGTCGTATTGCTTCCCAGGGAATTTCCCCTGCGAGGGGTGTGGCCGCAGATACTTGACGGCTGCTGGCCTTTCGCAACATCGCAGACGGTACTGCCGGGGCCCAGTGGAAGAGGGCCCTAGTGCATGCGCGGAATGTGGCCGGGCCTTCCGGACCTTTGTCGGCATATGCAGCCGCGACCATCCTGAGGCGTATCAGAGGAGTGTAGAACTGGCGGATCGACGGAAGGCCGATCGTATCTCGGAGCTGGAAAGGTTCGCCATCTGCTTGGCTGAGCTCGAGTACGATGGAACCGCGGTGAACAAACACCTAGCATATAGGTTCCACCGTACGGTTGACGCCATCAAAAACCTCCGTAAGCTCAAGAGTTACGGCGTATTACGAGCTCAGTTAGAAGCCGTGCAGAAGGAGGCGCCGGACCACCCGACACATTCTCCCGTCCGGTTCGACCGGCCTCCGCAGGCCCGACCCGTCGCTGTCGCCGCCGGCCGAGGATGGCGACTCCGTGTTTCGGGCCGGGCCGCCTACATCATCTGGTCATCATCATCGCCTTTCTGAGTCAAATAGTTGCCGATTTCGATAAAATCTTAGTCAGAATCTGCTTTTTCGCCTCTTATTGTACCCAAATCTACCTTAGAAATGCAGATATATACTTAAAACACCTTCTTTTGGGACAAATAATTGGTTTTCGCCCTTGATTTGCGGAAGATTATAGCCAAAACATGCATTTTCATAACTTAGCGAACTGAAATCTACATTAAAACTGCAGATAACTACTTAAAAATTCACTTCCTTGAATTGATAATAGGTTTTTCTTTGTCATTTTAAACAGATTCCAGTCAAAATCGGCTTCTTCGATTCATATCGTATCTAAAACCGCATCAAAACTGCAAATATCAGCTTAGACTGTCATGGGTGTAAAACCCCTTTCTAAATCAAATAGTTGCCGATTTCGATAAAATCGCTGTCAGAATCTGCTTCTTCGCCTCTTAATGCACCCAAATATACATTAGAAGAGCAGATATGATCTTAAAACCCCTCTTTTTAGGACAAATTTGGGTTTTTTTCGCTCTTGATTTCGAGTAGATTATAGTCAAAACCTGCATTTCCATAACTTGGCAGACTGAAATATACATTGAAACTGCAGATGACTTCTACGGATTTTCAAGGTCCCAGGGGAAGATGCGGTCACCGCTGCAACTGCGGTGCTCTTCGCGTTGCAAACCATATCTCCCTGATGGAAGTTTCCACGGAACATTAAGTGTGTTTATGGACTTTCGACACCACACCCCGTTCCATGAAATGGTCGCTGCGGTGGTGGAGGTTTTCTCTTCCGAGACGTGTAGGTTTTTGGGACACACCTGTGATGAGTGCACTGTTGCCAGCGTATTTCGCAACCGTTGCTTGATGCTCCTGCGGCGGTGAGACCACCTGGCCGTCTACTATGACAGCGAGGCTAGCCTTGCTAGCGATGATGTCGGGCTTTCAAAAGATCCGCTCCCGCTCGACGTGGCAGCCGTTATTCCGTAGTCCACCCGCCAAGGCAGGGCAAACTGCATCATGACGGATCTGTCCTTAAACAGTAGCGGTGACAATGGATCGCCTTGACGGACTTCCACCGAACCGCCACTTCTCAGAAACTTGACCGGCCACTGATATTACCGTGGAAGCCTTGCTGTACGCCGTCATCACATACTCCATGAATGGACCACAAATATTCAGGCGAAGTTTTAGCCTGCTTTAAGCACTCTAATTTGTTCAAAGTAAACGTGCCGGAGCACCTCGACACTCAATGAAGAGCACCGCGGCAGGATTGAGTTGGACCGCCCGCGTGAACGGGCTAAGTCCACCGGCAGGACGTCTCGCGGCACGCCAGTTAACACCGCGGACGATGAACCGGCGGCGCGAGACACAAATTCGACTACGAGCTTTTTAACCGCAGCAACTTTAATATACGCTATTGGAGCTGGAATTACCGCAGCTGCTGGCACCAGACTTGCATTCCAATTGATCCTCGTTAAAGGGTTTAGAGTGTACTCATTCCGATTACGGGGCCTCGGATGAGTCCCGTATCGTTATTTTTCGTCACTACCTCCCCGTGCTGGGAGTGGGTAATTTGCGCGCCTGCTGCCCTCCTTGGATATGGTAGCCGTTTCTCAGGCTCAATCTCCGGAATCGAACCCTGAGTCCCCGTTACCGGTTACGACCATGGTAGGCGCAGAACCTACCATCGACAGTTGATAAGGCAGATATTTGAAAGATGCGTCGCCGGTGCGAGACCGTGCGATCAGCGTAAAGTTATTCAGAGTCACCAAGTTTAACGATGTCGGGCGCGAACCCGCCACCGATTGGTTTTGATCTAATAAAAGCACTCCTTCCGTCTCCGGTCGGACCTCTGTTTGCATGTATTAGCTCTAGAATTGCCACAGTTATCCAAGTAATTGTGGGTACGATCTAAGGAACCTAACTGATTTAATGAGCCTTTCGCGGTTTCACCTCGAATTTGCGTATACGGATCGCCTTTGTATGCGGACCGCTTCCGTATGCGGACCGCCTTCGTATATGGATCGCCTCGGTATACGGACCGCCTCCGTATGCGGACCGGCTCCATATACGGAACGCCTTTATATACGGACCGCCTCCAAATACAGACCGCCTTCGTATACGGACCGCCTTGATATACAGAACGCCTCCATGTACTGATCGCCTCCATATACGGATCACCTCCATATACGGATCACCTCCATATGCGGACCGCCATTATATACGGACCGTCTCTAAATACAGACCGCCTTCGTATACGGACCGCCTCCATATACGGACCGCTTCCATATAGGGATCGCCTCCATATACGGAACGCCTTTATATACGGACCGCCTCCAAATACAGACCGCCTTCGTATACGGACCGCCTCGATATACGGACCGCCTCCATATACTGATCGTCTCCATATACGGATCACCTCCATATGCGGACCGCCATTATATACGGACCGTCTCTAAATACAGACCGCCTTCGTATACGGACCGCCTCCATATACGGACCGCTTCCATATAGGGATCGCCTCCATATACGGAACGCCTTTATATACGGACCGCCTTGATATACAGACCGCTTCCATATATTGATCGCCTCCATATACGGACCACCCTCATATACAGACCGCCATTATATACGGAACGTCTCTAAATACAGACCGCCTTTGTATACGAACCGCCTCCATATACAGACCGCCTCTCTATACGGACCGCTTCCATATAGGGATCGCCTTCATATACGGAACGCCTTTATATACGGACCGCCTCCAAATACAGACCGTCTTCGTATACGGACGGCCTCGATATACAGACCGCTTCCATATATTGATCGCCTCCATATACGGACCACCTCCATATACAGACCGCCATTATATACGGAACGTCTCCAAATACAGACCGCCTTTGTATACGGACCGCCTCCATATACAGACCGCCTCTATATGTAAACCGCTTCCATATGCGCACCGGCTTTATATACGGACCGCTTCCAAATACAGACCGCCTTTGTATATAGACCGCCTTGATATACAGACCGCTTCAATATACAGACCGCCTTCGTATACGAACCGCCTCCATATACTGACCGCCATTATATACGGACGGTCTCTAAATGCAGACCGCCTTCGTATATGAACCGCCTCTATATGTAAACCGCTTCCATATGCGGACCGGCTCCATATATAGACCGCCTGCATATATAGACCGAGTCCATTTATAGACCGCCTCCATGTACAGATCGCCTTTATATACAGACCGCCCCATATATAGGTCGTCTCTATATATAGACCGCTTCCATAACCGAAGCTAACCAAAATGGACCAAAGTGAAGTATATAGACCGTCTAAACGGTAAACCGCCTTTGTGGTGGTTGGCATCACCAAAGCGATAACCGAAACTAACCAAAATGGACCAAAGTGACGTATTGCCTAGACCGTGAACCTCTTCGGTGGCGGTTTGATATCTAATTAAAACTAATAAAAAAACCGATCAAAATTTAGAATTGAACATCACCATGATTCAGAACGTTTTGAAATTGAAATAAAAATGTTAAGATATGTGATTACGTATTTTTGAAACGTTCGTCTCGAAACGTTTCGTTCGACGTTAAAGGAAAAAGGAATGGGAAAGGGAAAATAAATTTATTTCATTTTTATTTATTATCGAAAACGAATTCTTTAAAAAACGATTTGGCGGTTCTAAAAAGAACCTTGAAGGTCGCCTGAAATATAACAAATTAGTATTGATAATAAAAAATCCTTGGCCGGTTGTGAACGTCTCGTAGATCTGAAACATAAAAAAAAAAGGATTAGTTACGTTATGAGATAGTGTGTCGCGAATCGGGTTATCGTCGTATTTTTCTCTATCGTTCGATTGTCCGCGGTATCGAACGTAACGAATAATTTCGACCCTCGTGATGGGATTAAAGTCATAATCGGGTAAAAGTCTCAATCGGGTGAACGTCTTTGTCGGGTTAGAGTTTTAATGGGGAAAAAGTCATCGTTCGTACCGGCGGCAGGAAATATTGGAACTCGTGTACTTAATAAAATTTTGGAAAATGTAATATTTTTATTTGGTAAAAGTCGTGATCGAGTAAACGTCATAATTGGGTAAAAAGTCACGATCGGGTGAAAAGGCTATATTGGGTAAAGGACGTCGTCGGTAAAAAGTCGCCCTCGGTTACAAGTTATTATCGGTGAACTGTCATCGTTGTGTCGTAAAATCGGAACGAAAATGGGGTCGTAAAATGGAAACGAAAATGTAAAAAGTGGCAAATTTTCGAATTCAATTGAAGATTTTATCTAAAAACGCCCTATAAACGATATTCTGCGTGAAAACTGGATTATTTTTGCGACCGTCTTTAAAGAAACGACCCTGTCTACGACTTTCCTTTACAAAAATGCGAATATCCTGCCAAGTACGCACTCTGGACAAAGCGACGTACAATTGACCGTGAGCAAAACACGGGACGTTGAGACACAAACCGACTCGCGAAAGAGTCTGTCCTTGCGCTTTGTTGATAGTAATTGCGTGCGCCAACTTAATCGGAAATTGTTTTCTATAAAATGTGTCGCCGCCCGGTAGCAATGGCGTTTCTTTTTCCTCTAAAACGAATTGTTTTCTGATAATGACACATTTACGGCCCTGAAATTGACCGGAAACGATGCGGCCGACTATCACGTCATCGCCCATCTCCATTCCCTGTCCGTTACAAAAACCCCTCCGCACGTTAAGATTTACCAAAAGGACTACCACCGAACCGATCTTCAAAGTCAACCGATGTGGCGGTAGTCCCGACAAATCTAAACTTTCGATAATTTCACTGGTGACTCCCGTCGCGAGGGGATTGGCGATTTCGTGATCGTCGGCCCCATCCTCGTTACTCTGTCTATCGTAGGAATTGGTCGCCAAAAAGACCCTCTCCGATCCTGACGAATCGGGGAAGATCTTTGAGATGATTTCGTTCAACTCCTCGACCTCGCTGTTCACGGGACAAAGGATCGACCGGAGGGCCAATCGCTCGGCTAATTCCAAGAATCGCTCGTTCGTCCCGGGAAGAGCGAGCATCGATTCGAAGACGTCCCCGTAAACAAAGTCGACGAGTTGTTCGCGCGATTTGACAATTAATTTGGAAGGAACGAACAGACAGTTATCGGAAATCGGTTCGCGTCCGTTGTCCGAAACGATTCTTTCCCCGTCGCCTACTCTCCTGATGAAATTCGACCATTCCATCTCTTGCGGATGAACACGCATGTTTTCCGTTAACGTGCACAGTTGAAAAGTACTCCATGCCGGATGCGAAACGATGGACTCGAACACGGACGCCATTCCCGCTCGCCTACCCTTGACAACGGGAAGCAACTGCTTGGGATCGCCGCTAAGAATAACGGTTTTCCCACCGAACGGCCGTCGCGATTGACCGTATTCCCGACACACGGCATCGATCATTTCCAACATCCACGACGCCAACATAAACACCTCGTCTAACACGACGAGTCTCGCGTTTCGAATATCGTCGTCCGCCTCCGACTCGCCCACCAAATTAGAAACCGGCGTATCGTCTACGCCTCTTTCTCTAGGAATGCCGAAAGAAGAATGAATCGTAGCCGCGTTCCGGATTAACGTGGCCGCGATCCCCGTAAAAGCCGCGGATACGTACGGTAACGCGCGAAGTTCCGCCTCTTCCAAAATAACGTTGACGGTCGCGGTTTTGCTGGTGCCCCCTTCGCCGGTCAAAACGAAAACGATACCGTTACGATTGCATACAGACTGTAAAAACTCGTAAACGAATCCCAGCTGTTGATCGTTGAGATCGATCAGATGCAAATTTTGATTCGGTCTCGGAACGAAAACGAATTCCTCGAACGTAACCTCTTCCTCGTCCAAAAGTTGTTCCGCCTCCTCGTCGTAAACTCAATCGGAAATCCAATCCCGAGGAAGATTAATTTTTTCCATCGAAGTGGAGCATTCGACCAGAAATCGATCTACGAAACTCCAAAGGACCGTATACCGACACGTACGGAGCACGTGCATCCTTTCGTTTAAGTCGCCCGCGCCCTCTTCGTCGATATCTCTGATTAAATCGATATGAATCCTATGCACGTCCGCGGACATACGCCTGCACCATCTCTTAAATAAAGTTCGGGGATTCTTCGACGGATTGTACAAGAGAATTAGAGCGAACGCTTCCCTTAAATAAAACGGATGACGAAGACGATCCGCTATCCAATCTAAAATCTTGTCCGCCTCTTCGTCGTCGTCCGGGATCAATTTTAACGCTACGCAAGCGGCCTGATACGAAGGACATAAAACGCCGTTTACGGTTTTCGCGTCCACGAACGAAATCAAACCTGTCACGTTGCCCAAAATCATTCGTAGATAGTAGCGCTCCATATTCCCCGGACTCGGATAAACCGGACTCATACGACCTATAGAACTGGTGGGTCGCGATTTGGCGACCCAACGACCTTGCCGCCAAGAGTGCGTTTTGACGATGTCGACGTAGAACCGTCGCCGACCCGTCGCCTCCTCCGCCGCGTTCAATTCGAACCAAGCGACGAGCTTAGAACGCTCGCCCCTTTCGACTACGGCCACCTCGTCCCCTTCCCTGTAAATTTCACAAGCCTCTCCTTCCAAATGCACGGGCAACTTTTCGATTGTGTGACTGATATGGAATATGCCATTTCCCAAGATGCGATAGACCGCCTCGTGCGGTCCGATATATCTAATTTTAAGGAATGCCGCCGCCTCGTTCCAATCGATCGTATTCACTTGCATCTCAACGCATTGGATGTTCGCTACGTCTAACCCCTTATTGACGTAGGCGTTAATGTATCGACACACCTGGATCGGGTTTCCGACGCAAAGTTCCAAATTCGTTGCCGACGAAACGATTTTGTTGCCTGTTAAAAAAGCAAACACAAGGAGGACGTCTGTAAAGAATTTGCTTCTCGATCTTAAAAACGGTGCTCGATATTTGCTGTTTCGGATATTTCCACCGGCATCGATCGACAACGGTCCAGCAAGGCGGTCTTCTGACCCTCGAATTTTCGACACCTATCTCCCCCTCTTGTTCCTCCTCCTCGTCATTGTCGTCGATTTCCTGTTCGACGTTTTCCGGTTCGATATCGCACTTGTTATGTATCATGAACGTGTTGACCAAGTGACGAAGCGATTCGAAACCGTTACCGTCCGAAGGTTCGGGCCATCTCGCATAAATGACCCTATCCACATCCTCTCCCGAAACGGGAACGTCTTCTCTGGACAAATAGAGAAGGATATGCGCGTGCGGAGCGCCGCGTTTTTGGAATTCTACCCTGACAACGTATCCTTCGATTTTCCCTAAGATTTGACGCTCGGTCAAATCTCGCATCAAGGCATTCAATTTTTGTTCGAATACGCGACACAAAACCTCCGGAAAGTTTCCTATGTCGGACACGGATTTGTCGCGGCGGTTCATCTCGTCGATTACCTCTTGCCAATTTTTGTTTGACGTGAACGTGACAAGGTAAGTGGGAACTCTTCTCAATTTCGCGCACAAAGCCAAACTGTCTAGATAACCGTTGTGGTAGTACCGCCTGGTACCGGGAATCGTAGTCGGTAAGATGATGATGCGACCGGGACGTACGCGAGCTAGACCTTCATTTCCCTCATTTATTTCCGCCGTCCGCATTTCCAAGAACCTTTTCAAACTATCGTAGGTATCGGATCGTAATACCTTTTGATTTTTTTCCGCCCAAGAAACGTCGTTGTACTCGATTTTGACGTCGGCGTCGATGATGTATTGTAAACGCAATTTACCTACCAAATCCAAGACATTCCAATAACGACCGCCCTTTGTCCTCGGAATATCCGATAACAACCGAAATCTGTAATATTGTCTCAACGTGTTGACCTTGTCGGCGGATTCGTTCCAAGAACTCTCCGCGTGCAAATGAACCAAAGGATACAACATTAGATCTAGTGTGGCCGTGATAACGGAAATCTCTCTATACGGCAAAGCCGCGTCCTCCTCCAACGGTCTTGGAACAAACTCCACGTCGTAGTAGCAAGGGGGCCTGTCCCCGATGTAAATACCCGCGATCGTTTCGTTTCTCGGAAATTGAAGTCCCGAGATGCGAGCCGCGGCTTCGGATATCCCCCTACGGTGGTATCCCGCTTTACGTGGACCGTTTCGTTCGTCCTTGATCCGCGGATTAACGCAGAAAACAATTTCCCTAACTTCCCTGTTATTGACGGCGGCGTTTTCGACCTCCTCCCTATATAATTAGCCTGCCCATTTAAAAATTTTACATAATCGATTTTCCCGTCTTAAATACGATTCGAATGAATCGACAACGTCCTCGGATAATTGTCCCGAAACGGTGGAAAAAGACCTTCGCAAATTGGCCGTGTTTTCCGATACGTCAATGAAATAAAGATGCGCCTCGTTAAAACGACGATTTCCTGTTCGATGCGAATCCGCCATAAACCTCACTTGACGATTGATTACCGCGGTCGATGTAGCCGGACGGCCCGATCCGTACATCCCTAGACCGGCGTAATTGCCCCTGGGATGGGCCATAGCGAAAATGCTATTATAAGCCCTGGAAAATTTTCCAAAATGCCGCATTAATTCATACTCGTCTACGTTCAATTTTCCTCCGGCGTACAATTTGAGAAGGTTCAAATCGACCGGTTTCTTAAAGAACGCGTCTTCGCCCAAGACATTACGACCGGAAGAACAACATAACTCGCTTCGACCCGTTTTTCGATACAATTCGGAAAACCAAAAAGCAGCCCCGCAAAATGGACAAAACCACCTTTCCCTTCCTAGATAATGAGTTTCGATTAAATCAAAATCAACGTCCTCGTGATATACGGCATTTTGATAAAAATTGTTGATTCTCTCGTTTCGAATACGCCACTCTCGCTTGTGCGAGAGGAACGGAGGTAGAGGGTGCCAAGCGCGACCCACTCTACCGCGGATGACCGGCCTCGAAGCTTCCGCCACCGATTCCGCGATATAATCCAAATCGTCTTCGTCGTCGTCGTCTTTCTCCTCGTTGTGTTGTTTTGACATCGTGATCGTCTCCTCCAAAGGACTCTTGGTAGGATTGACGCAAATTTCAACCGATTCTTTGCCAACGACAGACGGCTCCGATTCCCTTACGTTCTCGACGACGGAATCCCGGACAAAAGTGTCCATGACCTCCACACCTGACCTAGACAAATCGAAATTGCGCCGCATTTCGATATAACAATCGTAATGATTGTGTCCACTGTATCTTAACAAAATCGGATTGGTATCGTCCATTCTTCCCTGATCTAAGAGAATTTTTCCATTTTCGATGATCAAAAACCTCCTATTATAAAACGAAGAAAGTGCGAAAACTTCCATGGCGGAACCCCATTCGCCGTTTTTTGACATGACATTTTTGTAATCATCAAAATTTGTAAAATCGGTCCAAACCGCTAGATCGTTCCAATTGTTTTCCGCCGCCGCGACCGCGTTCGATCTTACCTGGAAATGTTGCCGGTCGTTACCGTGCAATCCCACGGCGATAGAACGAAACAAGCAATTCCCGTCGCCGGCCGCCACTCGATACCGTCCGTATCGATCGCTTCTAATTTGTTCGCTTTCCATTATTATTTTCGACTAGAAACTTCTGAATAAAAAAAAGAAAAACGCGAATAAATTATACGATAAAATGTGTAAGAACGCATAAATCGACACATATTTAAAGAAAAACGTTAAAAAAAATTAGAACATTTAAAATTTAATAAGAACCGTCAAAATAACAGAACGATATCGCGACGTTCTGTATACAATTTAAATTTAAAGAAGGAAATAAAAAAAAACGAAAACGAAAATATCGTTCGCTCGAAACAAACGATATAATAACGTAACACATAGAACCAATGTAAAGAAAATGAGACACCCTGTATGTGACTAGAAGCAAACTATCTTATCGGAGTACGTGTGATTATGTAAAAACAGAGTTACGCAACCCGCACATGATTTTACGTAGGAAATAATTTAAAGACATCCGGTAGGTTTTGAAAAAATTAAATTTAAAATTATAAAGCCAAAGATGCAAAAACATTAGCAAATTTAAATCGAAATACTCATTTACCGCGGGGAACGATATCGCGACGTCCTGTATACAATTTAAATTCAAAGAAGGAAATAAAAATAACGAAAACGAAAGTATTGTTGACTCAAAAGAAGCGATATAATAACGTAACACATAGAACCAATATAAAAAAAATGGGACAACCTGTATGTGATTAAAAGCAAACTACCTTATCGAAGAACGTGTGATGGTGTAAAAACAGAGTTACGCAACCCCCGCATGATTTAACGTAGGAAATAATTTAAGGACATCCGGTATATTTTTAAAAAACTAAATTTAAATTTATGAAGTCAGAGATGCAAAAACTTTAACAAAATTAAATCGAAATATTCATTTGCCGCGGGGAAAAATATCGCGACGTCTTGTATACAATTTAAATTGAAAGAAGGAAATAAAAATAACGAACACGAAAATATCGTTCGCTCGAAACAAACGATATAATAACGTAACACATAGAACCAATGTAAAGAAAATGGGACAACTTGTATGTGATTAGAAGCAAACTATCTTATCGGAGTACGTGTGATGGTGTAAAAACAGAGTTACGCAACCCGCGCATAATTTTACGTAGGAAATAATTTAAAGACATCCGGCATATTTTTAAAAAATTAAATTTAAAATTATAAAGCCAAAGATGTAAAAACATTAGCAAATTTAAATCGAAATACTCATTTACCGCGGGGAACAATATCGCGACGTCCTGTATACAATTTAAATTCAAAGAAGAAAATAAAAATAACGAAAACGAAAGTATCGTTGACTTAAAAGAAGCGATATAATAACGAAACACATACAACCAATGTAAAGAAAATGGGACAACCTGTATGTGATTAAAAGCAAACTACCTTATCGGAGTACGTGTGATGGTGTGAAAACAGCGTTACCCAACCCGCGCATGATTTTACGTAGGAAATAATTTAAGGACATCCGGTATATTTTTAAAAAACTAAATTTAAAATTATGAAGCCAGAGATGCAAAAACTTTAACAAAATTAAATCGAAATACTCATTTGCCGCGGTGAACAATATCGCGACGTCCTGTATACAATTTAAATTGAAAGAAGGAAATAAAAATAACCAACACGAAAATATCGTTCGCTCGAAACAAACGAAATAATAACGTAACACATAGAACCAATGTAAAAAAAATGGGACAACCTGTATGTGATTAAAAGCAAACTACCTTATCGAAGAACGTGTGATGGTGTAAAAACAGAGTTACGCAACCCGCGCATGATTTTAGGTAGGAAATAATTTAAGGACATCCGGTATATTTTTAAAAAATTAAATTTAAAATTATAAAGCCAGAGATGCAAAAACATTAGCAAATTTAAATCGAAATACTCATTTACCGCGGGGAACAATATCGCGACGTCCTGTATACAATTTAAATTCAAAGAAGGAAATAAAAATAACGAAAACGAAAGTATCGTTGACTCAAAAGAAGCGATATAATAACGTAACACATAGAACCAATGTAAAGAAAATGGGACAACCTGTATCTGATTAGATGCAAACATTTTTATCTGAGTATGTGTAATCGTGTGAAAACAGAGTTACGCAACCCGCGTATGATTTTACATAGGAAATAATTTAAGGATAACCGGTATATTTTAAAAAAATTGAACATGACGCTAGAGATGTAAAAACCAATGCAAAGAAAAAAAAACACTAAAATATATTAGCGAGAGATAGTCGCAACTCGAAAACTTTTTCTTCATGTCCGCGTAGGAGCACATAGCAATAGAAATATATTTAATTACCTGAAAAAAAGAAAATCAATCACAATTAACTTTCTCGGGTGCACTTTTAAAACAAACTAAATGCAAATCTCGATGAAGATCATCCCACCTACATTGTCACCCCCACCAATTATTTAATATTTCGCGCCTAGGATAACGATCGCTAAGATCGTCGAACGTTGCCACGTTGAGCGCAAAACGTAGTTATTAAAAATGATGCGAGTTAATTTTTGTCTTTACCAATTATGAGAATCGTCGAAATCTATCTGGAAACACTTTCAACTGCATCCCGTCTCTTTTCGTTGAATTGAAATTGATCTTTTTTTCAATAAAAATCGATATAAATCACAATGCAGGGATGCTTCTGGCAACAGTGTCACCCCATCCACTTTTATAACGGTTTTCTGTCCGTCGATCGTAAATCATTTTTTCGCGGGTAAAATAACAGCTGTTAGAGAATCGTCGGACGTTGCCATATTTAAGAGATGCAAAAATCACGAAAATAATCGATCGATTTTAATAAGGGAAAAATGAAAGCCTACCTCGCTTTAAAATTTCAAACTTGAATGGATAGGAGGAACGTCGGAAGCCTACCAAACTATAGTGGTTACGAAACCGCACCACTCTACGCGCGTTATAATAAACTCGGGACGAAAATTCGCTTATTTTTCGCCTCCGACGCACCGTTTCCGAGATACGGCCCTTTTTCGATTTTTTTTTCCATTTTAAAATGGCTATAGCTCGAAAACGGTTCGTTTTTTGGGAAAACCGAGCAATTTTTTGCCCCAAACGGGACGGTTTACCACCCCATTTTACGGGAATCCGGTATCTGTTTTTCCATTTTCTTGATTTTGGTGCCCCCGCCGGCATCGTATAGAGTCTTAGGAGCCTACCTCGATTTAAAATTTTAAACTTGACTGGATAGGAGGAACGTCGGAAACCTACCAGGCTATAGTATATACGAAACCGCACCATTTTACGCGCGTTATAATAAACTCGGTACGAAAATTCGCTTATTTTTCGCCTCCGGCGCACCCTTACCGAGATACGGCCCTTTTTCGAATTTTTTTTTCGATTTTAAAATGGCCATAACTCGAAAACGATTCATTTTTTGGGAAAACGGAGTAATTTTTTGCCTTAAAGCGACGCTTTAAGGCAAAAAATCCAATCAAAAAAAGGACAAAATTTTCACCCCAAAGGGGTCGTTTCTCACCCCCCTTTACCCTTAGAAGACATTTTCTCCGATTTTTTTTTCAAAAATTACAAAATCCGAGGGGGTAAAATTTGGAGGGGGGGGGGTTGAGACTTTGTCAGTCGATTCCCCACGCCTAGTCAATGACGTCGAGGCCGGTACGAAAATTCGCTTATTTTTCGCCTCCGACGCACCGTTTTCGAGATACGACGATTTGAAAATTTTGAAAATTTTTCCAAAAAACCGCCCTATCTCGGAAACGGTTCGTCGTATCGAGAAACGGAGCGAATTTCCGCCCTAAAGGGGGCGGTTTCCGACCCCGTTTTACCCGGATCCGACATCGTTTCCGCCATTTTCCGGAAAAAAGTTCTTTCGGGGGCGGTAACTCCGCCCCCAGAGGTCGGGGGCGGTTCCGCTCGCGGCGCCGAAATCGCGGCCGCCCCCTCCGCCGACCCGCCAAGTTTCATCCCGATCGGACCGGCCGTTCCCGAGATACATCGCGAGCCGGCAACGTTTAGAGTCAGGTCCCGCATAACAAGCGGCGCGCGAAGCGCGGTCGCTTATTATGCGGGGACTAGGGCGGTATCTGATCGCCTTCGAACCTCTAACTTTCGTTCTTGATCAATGAAAACGTTTTTGGCAAATGCTTTCGCTTCTGTCCGTCTTGCGACGATCCAACAAAATAGAACCAAGGTCCTATTCCATTATTCCATGCACACAGTATTCAGGCGAAGTTTTAGCCTGCTTTAAGCACTCAAATTTGTTCAAAGTAAACGTGCCGGCCCACCTCGACACTCAATGAAGAGCACCGCGGCAGGATTGAGTTGGACCGCCCGCGTGAACGGGCTAAGTCCACCGGCAGGACGTCTCGCGGCACGCCAGTTAACACCGCGGACGATGAACCGGCGGCGCGGGACACAAATTCGACTACGAGCTTTTTAACCGCAACAACTTTCGTGGCAGGTACTACGTTTCGTTCGACGTTAAAGGAAAAAGGAATGGGAAAGGGAAAATAAATTTATTTCATTTTTATTTATTATCGAAAACGAATTCTTTAAAAAACGATTTGGCGGTTCTAAAAAGAACCTTGAAGGTCGCCTGAAATATAATAAATTAGTATTGATAATAAAAAATCCTTGACCGGTTGTGAACGTCTCGTAGATCTGAAACATTAAAAAAAAAAGGATTAGTTACGTTATGAGATAATGTGTCGCGAATCGGGTTATCGTCGTATTTTTCTCTATCGTTCGATTGTCCGCGGTATCGAACGTAACGAATAATTTCGACCCTCGTGATGGGATTAAAGTCATAATCGGGTAAAAGTCTCAATCGGGTGAACGTCTTTGTCGGGTTAGAGTTTTAATCGGGAAAAAGTCATCGTTCGTACCTGCGGCAGGAAATATTGGAACTCGTGTACTTAATAAAAATTTGGAAAATGTAATATTTTTATTTGGTAAAAGTCGTGATCGAGTAAACGTCATAATTGGGTAAAAAGTCACTATCGGGTGAAAAGGCTATATTGGGTAAAGGACGTCGTCGGTAAAAAGTCGCCCTCGGTTACAAGTTATTATCGGTGAACTGTCATCGTTGTGTCGTAAAATCGGAACGAAAATGGGGTCGTAAAATGGAAACGAAAATGTAAAAAGTGGCAAATTTTCGAATTCAATTGAAGATTTTATCTAAAAACGCCCTATAAACGATATTCTGCGTGAAAACTGGATTATTTTTGCGACCGTCTTTAAAGAAACGACCCTGTCTACGACTTTCCTTTACAAAAATGCGAATATCCTGCCAAGTACGCACTCTGGACCAAGCGACGTACAATTGACCGTGAGCAAAACACGGGACGTTGAGACACAACCCGACTCGCGAAAGAGTCTGTCCTTGCGCTTTGTTGATAGTAATTGCGTGCGCCAACTTAATCGGAAATTGTTTTCTATAAAATGTGCCGCCGCCCGGTAGCAATGGCGTTTCTTTTACCTCTAAAACGAATTGTTTTCTGATAATGACACATTTACGGCCCTGAAATTGACCGGAAACGATGCGGCCGACTATCACGTCATCGCCCATCTCCATTCTCTGTCCGTTACAAAAACCCCTCCGCACGTTAAGATTTACCAAAAGGACTACCACCGAACCGATCTTCAAAGTCAACCGATGTGGCGGTAGTCCCGACAAATCTAAACTTTCGATAATTTCACTGGTGACTTCCGTCGCGAGGGGATTGGCGATTTCGTGATCGTCGGCCCCATCCTCGTTACTCTGTCTATCGTAGGAATTGGTCGCCAAAAAGACCCTCTCCGATCCTGACGGATCGGGGAAGATCTTTGAGATGATTTCGTTCAACTCCTCGACCTCGCTGTTCACGGGACAAAGGATCGACCGGAGGGCCAATCGCTCGGCTAATTCCAAGAATCGCTCGTTCGTCCCGGGAAGAGCGAGCATCGATTCGAAGACGTCCCCGTAAACAAAGTCGACGAGTTGTTCGCGCGATTTGACAATTAATTTGGAAGGAACGAACAGACAGTTATCGGAAATCGGTTCGCGTGCGTTGTCCGAAACGATTCTTTCCCCGTCGCCTACTCTCCTGATGAAATTCGACCATTCCACCTCTTGCGGATGAACACGCATGTTTTCCGTTAACGTGCACAGTTGAAAAGTACTCCATGCCGGATGCGAAACGATGGACTCGAACACGGACGCCATTCCCGCTGGCCTACCCTTGACAACGGGAAGCAACTGCTTGGGATCGCCGCTAAGAATAACGGTTTTCCCACCGAACGGCCGTCGCGATTGACCGTATTCCCGACACACGGCATCGATCATTTCCAACATCCACGACGCCAACATAAACACCTCGTCTAACACGACGAGTCTCGCGTTTCGAATATCGTCGTCCGCCTCCGACTCGCCCACCAAATTAGAAACCGGCGTATCGTCTACGCCTCTTTCTCTAGGAATGCCGAAAGAAGAATGAATCGTAGCCGCGTTCCGGATTAACGTGGCCGCGATCCCCGTAAAAGCCGCGGATACGTACGGTAACGCGCGAAGTTCCGCCTCTTCCAAAATAACGTTGACGGTCGCGGTTTTGCTGGTGCCCCCTTCGCCGGTCAAAACGAAAACGATACCGTTACGATTGCATACAGACTGTAAAAACTCGTAAACGAATCCCAGCTGTTGATCGTTGAGATCGATCAGATGCAAATTTTGATTCGGTCTCGGAACGAAAACGAATTCCTCGAACGTAACCTCTTCCTCGTCCAAAAGTTGTTCCGCCTCCTCGTCGTAAACTCAATCGGAAATCCAATCCCGAGGAAGATTAATTTTTTCCATCGAAGTGGAGCATTCGACCAGAAATCGATCTACGAAACTCCAAAGGACCGTATACCGACACGTACGGAGCACGTGCATCCTTTCGTTTAAGTCGCCCGCGCCCTCTTCGTCGATATCTCTGATTAAATCGATATGAATCCTATGCACGTCCGCGGACATACGCCTGCACCATCTCTTAAATAAAGTTCGGGGATTCTTCGACGGATTGTACAAGAGAATTAGAGCGAACGCTTCCCTTAAATAAAACGGATGACGAAGACGATCCGCTATCCAATCTAAAATCTTGTCCGCCTCTTCGTCGTCGTCCGGGATCAATTTTAACGCTACGCAAGCGGCCTGATACGAAGGACTTAAAACGCCGTTTACGGTTTTCGCGTCCACGAACGAAATCAAACCTGTCACGTTGCCCAAAATCATTCGTAGATAGTAGCGCTCCATATTCCCCGGACTCGGATAAACCGGACTCATACGACCTATAGAACTGGTGGGTCGCGATTTGGCGACCCAACGACCTTGCCGCCAAGAGTGCGTTTTGACGATGTCGACGTAGAACCGTCGCCGACCCGTCGCCTCCTCCGCCGCGTTCAATTCGAACCAAGCGACGAGCTTAGAACGCTCGCCCCTTTCGACTACGGCCACCTCGTCCCCTTCCCTGTAAATTTCACAAGCCTCTCCTTCCAAATGCACGGGCAACTTTTCGATCGTGTGACTGATATGGAACATGCCATTTCCCAAGATGCGATAGACCGCCTCGTGCGGTCCGATATATCTAATTTTAAGGAATGCCGCCGCCTCGTTCCAATCGATCGTATTCACTTGCATCTCAACGCATTGGATGTTCGCTACGTCTAACCCCTTATTGACGTAGGCGTTAATGTATCGACACACCTGGATCGGGTTTCCGACGCAAAGTTCCAAATTCGTTGCCGACGAAACGATTTTGTTGCCTGTTAAAAAAGCAAACACAAGGAGGACGTCTGTAAAGAATTTGCTTCTCGATCTTAAAAACGGTGCTCGATATTTGCTGTTTCGGATATTTCCACCGGCATCGATCGACAACGGTCCAGCAAGGCGGTCTTCTGACCCTCGAATTTTCGACACCTATCTCCCCCTCTTGTTCCGCCTCCGTATACCGACCGCCTCCCTATACGAACCACTTATATATAGGGATCGCCTCCATATATGGAACGCCTTTATATATGGACCGCCTCCAAATACAGACCGCCTTCGTATACGGACCGCCTTGATATACAGAACGCCTCCATATACCGACCGCCTCCCTATACGAACCGCTTCCATATAGGGATCGCCTCCATATATGGAACGCCTTTCTATATGGACCGCCTCCAAATACAGACCGCCTTCGTATACGGACCGCCTTGATATACAGAACGCCTCCATATACTGATCGCCACCATATACGGATCACCTCCATATACGGACCGCCATTATATACGGACCGTCTCTAAATACAGACCGCCTTCGTATACGGACCGCCTCCATATACGGACCGCCTCCATATACAGACCGCCTCTATATATAAACCGCTTCCATATGCGGACCGGCTCCATATATAGACCGCCTGTATATATAGATCGCCTCCATTTATATACCGCCTCCATATACAGATCGCCTCTATATACAGACCGCCCCCATATATAGGTCGTCTCTATATATAGACCGCTTCCATAACCGAAACTAACCAAAATGGACCAAATTGAAGTATATAGACCGCCTAGATGGTAGACCGCCTCCGTGGTGGTTGGCATCACCAAAGCGATAACCAAAACTAACCAAAATGGACCAAAGTTGAGTATATAGATTGCCTAGACCGTGAACCTATTCGGTGGCGGTTTGATAGGAACGTCGGAAACCTACCACGCTATGGTGTTTACGAAACCGCACCACTCTACGCGGCCGTTTGCAGTAGGTAGGTTTCGAACCTACGCTGATATGGAGAATCTGATTTCTAGTCAGACGCTTTTACCGACAGACCAAATCTAAATTTGCTTGAAAGTGGTACTATTTCTGGTGATGTGCCATGCGTTGAAATATAAGGCCATTATATTTTTATAAATTTATGTACTCAATCCCCATATCTGAGAAAAATTTCTGGGCTGAGCTGTTAATTAAAAAATATATATTTCAAGCAAAACAATTTCCGTTTGCAGTAGGTAGGTTTCGAATCTACGCTGCCATGGAGAATCTGATTTCTAGTCAGACGCCTTAACCGACAGACCAGGGCTAAATCTGTTTGAAAGAAGAACTATTTCTGGTGATGTGCCATTTAAAATATAAGGGCATTATATTGTTTTAAATTTATGCACTCAATCCCCATAATTGACAAAATTTTCTGGGCTGAGCTGCTAATAACAAAAATTATATTTCAAGCAAAACAAATGGTCGTTTGCAGTAGGTAGGTTTCGAACCTATGCTGATAGAGAATCTGATTTCTAGTCAGACGCCTTAACCGACAGACCAGGGCTAAATCTGTTTGAAAGTCAAACTATTTTTGGTGATGTGCCATGCGTTGCAAAATAAGTCCATTACATTTTTATAAATTTATGTACTCAATCCCCATATTTGAGAAAAATTTCTAGGCTGAGCTGTTAATTAAAAAATATATATTTCAAGCAAAACAAAGGCCGTTTGCAGTAGGTAGGTTTCGAACCTACGCTGCCATAGAGAATCTGATTTCTAGTCAGACAGACGCCTTTACGGACAGACCAGGGCTAAATCTGTTTGAAAGTAAAACTATTTCTGGTGATATGCCATTTGAAATATAAGAGCATTATATGGTTTTAAATGTATGCACTCAATCCCCATAATTGACAAAATTTTCTGGACTGAGCTGCCAATTACAAAAATTATATTTCACGCAAAACAAATGGTTGTTTGCAGTAGGTAGGTTTCATACCTACGCTGCCATGGAGAATCTGATTTCTAGTCAGACGCCTTAACCGACAGACCAGGGCTAAATCTGTTTGAAAGTCGAACTATTTCTGGTGATGTGCCATGCGTTGAAATATAAGTCCATTATATTTTTATAAATTTATGTACTCAATCCCCATATTTGAGAAAAATTTCTGGGCTGAGCTGTTAATTAAAAGATATATATTTCAAGCAAAACAATGGCCGTTTGCAGTAGGTAGGTTTCGAACTCAATCCCCATAATTGACAAAATTTTCTGGACTGAGCTGCTAATTACAAAAATTATATTTCAAACAAAACAATTTCCGTTTGCAGTAAGTAGGTTTCGAACCTACACTGCCATCGAGAATCTGATGTCTAGTCACCCGAATTAACCAATAGACCAAGGCTAAATCTGTTTGAAAGTCGAACTATTTCTGGTGATGTGCCATGCGTTGAAATATAAGGCCATTATATTTTTAGAAATTTATGTACTCAATCTTGATATTTGAAAATATTTCTGGGTTGAGCTGTTAATTAAAAAATATATATTTCAAGCAAAACAATGGCCGTTTGCAGTAGGTAGGTTTCGAAATTAATCCCCATAATTGACAAAATTTTCTGGACTGAGCTGCTAATTACAAAAATTATATTTCAAGCAAAACAATTTCCGTTTGCAGTAGGTAGGTTTCGAACCTACGCTGCCATGGAGAATCTGATTTCTCGTCAGGCGCCTTAATTGACAGACCAGGGCTAAATCTGTTTGAAAGTAGAACTATTTCTTTTGATGTGCCATTTGAAATATTAGGACATTATATTGTTTTAAATGTATGCACTCAATCCCCATAATTGACAAAATTTTCTGGACTGAGCTGCTAATTACAAAAATTATATTTCAAGCAAAACAAATGGTCGTTTGCAGCAGGTAGGTTTCGAACCTACGCTGCCATGGAGAATCTGATTTGTAGTCAGACGCCATAACCCACAATCCAGGGCTAAATCTGTTTGAAAGTAGAACTATTTCTTTTGATGTGCCATTTGAAATATAAGGACATTATATTGTTTTAAATGTATGCACTCAATCCCCATAATTGACAAAATTTTCTGGACTGAGCTGCTAATTACAAAAATTATATTTCAAGCAAAACAAATGGTCGTTTGCAGTAGGTAGGTTTGGAACCTATGCTGATAGAGAATCTGATTTCTAGTCAGACGCCTTTACCGACAGACCAAATCTAAATTTGTTTGAAAGTGGAACTATTTTTGGTGATGTGCCATGCGTTGAAATATAAGGCCATTATATTTTTATAAATTTATGTACCCAATCTTCATATTTGAAAAAATTTCTGGGCTGAGCTGTAAATTAAAAAATATATATTTCAAGCAAAACAATGGCCGTTTGCAGTAGGTAGGTTTCGAACTCAATCCCCATAATTGACAAAATTTTCTGGACTGAGATGCTAATTATAAAAATTATATTTCAAGCAAAACAAATGGCCGTTTGCAGTAGGTAGGTTTCGAACCTACGCTGATATGGAGAATCTGATTTCTAGTCAGACGCTTTTACCGACAGACCAAATCTAAATTTGTTTGAAAGTGGTACTATTTCTGGTGATGTGCCATGCGTTGAAATATAAGGCCATTATATTTTTATAAATTTATGTACTCAATCCCCATATCTGAGAAAAATTTCTGGGCTGAGCTGTTAATTAAAAAATATATATTTCAACCAAAACAATTTCCGTTTGCAGTAAGTAGGTTTCGAACCTACACTGCCATCGAGAATCTGATGTCTAGTCACCCGAATTAACCAATAGACCAAGGCTAAATCTGTTTGAAAGTCGAACTATTTCTGGTGATGTGCCATGCGTTGAAATATAAGGCCATTATATTTTTAGAAATTTATGTACTCAATCTTGATATTTGAATAAATTTCTGGGCTGAGCTGTTAATTAAAAAATATATATTTCAAGCAAAACAATGGCCGTTTGCAGTAGGTAGGTTTCGAACTTAATCCCCATAATTGACAAAATTTTCTGGACTGAGCTGCTAATTACAAAAATTATATTTCAAGCAAAACAATTTCCGTTTGCAGTAGGTAGGTTTCGAACCTACGCTGCCATGGAGAATCTGATTTCTCGTCAGGCGCCTTAATTGACAGACCAGGGCTAAATCTGTTTGAAAGTAGAACTATTTCTTTTGATGTGCCATTTGAAATATTAGGACATTATATTGTTTTAAATGTATGCACTCAATCCCCATAATTGACAAAATTTTCTGGACTGAGCTGCTAATTACAAAAATTATATTTCAAGCAAAACAAATGGTCGTTTGCAGCAGGTAGGTTTCGAACCTACGCTGCCATGGAAAATCTGATTTGTAGTCAGACGCCTTAACCCACAGACCAGGGCTAAATCTGTTTGAAAGTAGAACTATTTCTTTTGATGTGCCATTTGAAATATAAGGACATTATATTGTTTTAAATTTTCTGGACTGAGCTGCTAATTACAAAAATTATATTTCAAGCAAAACAAATGGTCGTTTGCAGTAGGTAGGTTTCGAACCTATGCTGATAGAGAATCTGATTTCTAATCAGACGCCTTAACCGACCGACCAAAGCTAAATCTGTTTGAAAGTCGAACTATTTCTGGTGATGTGCCATGCGTTGAAATATAAGGCCATTATATTTTTATAAATTTATGTACTCAATCCCCATATCTGAGAAAAATTTTTGGGCTGAGCTGTTAATTAAAAAATATATATTTCAAGCAAAACAATTTTCGTTTGCAGTAGGTAGGTTTCGAACCTACGCTGCCATGGAGAATCTGATTTCAAGTCAGACGCCTTAGTCGACAGACCAGGGCTAAATCTGTTTGAAAGTAGAACCATTTCTGGTGATGTGCCATTTGAAATTTAAGGGCATTATATTGTTTTATATGTATGCACTCAATCCCTATAATTGACAAAATTTTCTGGGCTGAGCTGCTAATTACAAAAATTATATTTCAAGCAAAACAAATGGTCGTTTGCAGTAGGTAGGTTTCGAACCTACGCTGCCATGGAGAATCTGATTTCTAGTCGGACCCCTTAACCGACAGACCAAGGCTAAATCTGTTTGAAAGTCGAACTATTTCTGGTG